ATAATGGTTTTGAGATAACAAGGTGATTGACTTATAAAAGAACTGAAAAATAAGGCAATGTTGAAAGAGTAATAACAAATCCTTCTAATACGCGAAGCTAATGCACACGCAGATTGATCACTGAGCAACCGGTAGCTGTTAGTTGTGTCAACTGTCTGCTGAGTTGTCCAACTAACTATGTATACTGTCTCAGTTAGACCATGAGACAGACCTCGAATGCATGAGCCATGCCGAATACGTCAGACTTGGTAGATTTGTATTAGTTATCACTGCTGAAAAGATAGCCAACCATTTAATAAATAAGAGTAATATTGCCACAGAATGTTGCTACATTATCTATCTCTTACCATGAGTCTCTTAATTTCATCTGGTTGTGCGCAAGCATGATAGGAAAGCACTTCAATAGCAACCTTCTGTTTAGCCATCAATAATGTCGCTTTCTCATACATTTGGGTGTTATGGATTCCAAGACCACAGAAAATGGCAAATGCCTAAAAAAAACATATAGTTTAATATTTACTGTAAATTTGTACATGTATTTTCCTATGCTAATCAAACAAGTGTAAAATATTAAAGAATTGGTCTAAAAAAAATTATAATTAGGAAAAACCAACATAAATTACAGTTAGTACAGTACAATTGGTATTTGAAGAAAGCTCATTAAACCAAGTCAACATGCCAGATAAAGGCACTTTAAGGAAAGAGGTTTAGTTGTTACCTCAAAACTGGTTTCATCCTGTTCAGTGAAAGGCCTTCCATCAGCTTTATTGAGTAGCTGTGCTATACCTATTACTACATCTTCATTGTTGTAGATGGGCAAACAAAGTGCAGTTTTAATTATAAAGTCCTTATTCACAGAACAGCCACCTTGAAATTCTGTCTGGGCTTGAAAATCAAAAATGTTCAGTGTCTGTAAAAGAGTAAATAAGTGAATTTACAAGCAAAACTAATACTGTATAACAATGTTCTGCCAACTATGGGCCGCAGCCCAAATTTGGGCAGCAAAACATTTTTGGAGGGCTGCGAAGAAATTGAAGAAAAAAAAAACAAGGATACGTCATTTCAAACTGAATTTTGATACTGTTAATTATTAGCGAACTTATCATTAGCAAATAGGTTTTGAAGATGGCAGTTGCGTATCAAATTCTAGCCTCGTGATGTCGAGGTAAACAATTGACGGCGACAGGCAGCGAAAAACTGGCATCAACAACAGCAACGACGCAACATCAAGGTACGATCTTTGCAAGATATAAAGGGCATTATTTGTATATAATGATTTCTTACCCTTTCCTTATTTATATTGAAATCATTGAACTTGTATAAAAAATGGCTGGTTAGCATTTCAATATTTATGCATAATGAAATCAGAAAACTTATTATATATAAATAATGAAAACGTTCAAGCAATTATTTACATGCAAATTTAAAGATGTAAATGCATTGCATAAATAATAAAAGATCTATATAGATCTATTATAGAAAAGATAGATTATATGTTAAATAATGAATTATAAAATAATTGTGTTATATAAACAAAAATTACAGTTGGCACCTCATAAATGAAAACACCCAAATGCTCCTTACATAAATGTACTGTAGGTCGAGATACTACAGACCCTAATAAATCTCAAGCATTATTATTATTACAAACTTACTTGCTGTTTGGTTGCAACATATCTAGCCATCTGACTATAAACAGAATCTTTCACTTGCTCCGGGCTGTTGGTAAAAAGAAAAAAAAATATGGCATGTAGTTTAAATATTAATATTAATATTATTATTATTTCGACATTGACAAATTTTCAAGTTATGTATAGCCAACTTAGGCGAATTTGACTATTATTACAGTATTATCATCATTAGCAATTCTTAGAATATTTGGCAACCAGTAACTAGCGTGCCTTATTGTAGAAGTTTAATAGTATAGTCTGGTGGTATAAATGATGGGAATTTGTGTTTCACCTGACTGACAAAATAGGCTCTCAGCGGGAGTGTGTCTCTATGCCCTATACTGCCTTACTCTATTATGTTTACTAATAAAGTATCCACATGGGATTCAGTTATCACGAAATGTGTGGTGTTGTATTTTTTTTACTGACTTTTGTGCAGTAATAAGACATGACCCATCATGCACCACCACCAGTAAGGCCACCAACACCATGT